AGACTAATTTTCTTTGCGGATCTCAGTTGAAAACCCACAGTGTCGTTAAGCAAAGTTTGACAATTAATTACTCCAAACCCAAACACGCTGGAATTTTTCTGAGTCCGCCACTGGAAAGAGGAAAATTTGCTCTATAAATTCCAATTTTGGCACTTTTCTGACTATTTTCTCTGATTTTTTAGACTAATTTTCTTTGCGGATCTCAGTTGAAAACTCACAATCTCGTTAAGCAAAGTTTGACAATTAATTGCTCCGAAACCAAACCCGCTGGAATTTTTCTGAGTACACCACTGGAAAGAGGAGCATTTGCTCTGTCAACTACAAATTTGCCATTTTTATGACTATTTTCTCTGATTTTTCAGACTGATTTTCTTTGCGGCTCTCAGTAGAAAACACACAGTCGCGCTAAGCAAAGTTTGACAATTAATTACTCCGAAACCGAACCCGTTGGAATTTTTCTGCGTACGCCACTGGAAAGACGAGAATTTGCTCTATAAACGCCAATTTTTGCACTTTTCCAACTATTTTCTCTGATTTTTCCGACTGATTTTCCTTGCGGCTCTCAATAGAAAGCCCACAGTCGCGTCAAGCAAAGTTGGACAATTAACGGAAAGTTTTCACGCGCCCCCGGTAGAAAAGCCTCGACCCCCCGGCCTGTCACTCAATCATTCAAACCAGCCAATGACAGCGGCGCGTCAGCCGTGCGGCATTGCAGGAAACTGTAAAAGGCGACGTCAGTCGCCCCACTTCCGCTACGGGGGGCGTTCGACTGGTACAGTATCGGTGTACTGCGTAAAAATTCATCATTTTCCGGGAAATTTACGACCGGCCGCATAAATCAACTCGGGGGGGGCGCGCAACCCTGGAACTTGGTTAGAAGCGATTTGGAAAAATCAGGGGCGCCAACACGCCCATAAATCCGCCACAGCAGCCAACTGTAAGAAAAGCCATAATTTCCAATAAAATTCCCTGTTTTCTCTTGCATTTTTGGCATTCGACTTGTCGAAAAATCCTGAGGGGGGGGGGCGGATGTTTTATTTAATATTCTCGGATTGGAGCGGCTGCCG